AAGGAGTCGTACAGGGATGGAAGGAAGGAAGTCACCCAACCCCAATTCCCATCTAATGCTTGCTTGGACATGATGTGACCTAAATACATTTCCATTTCACTTTACATGTGCCCCGTTTGTCGCCTTTTTCTCTTATTCCAAAGTGGAAACTTTGATGTAAAAGGTCATTCTCATGCCTTTGCCATGCTGCCTGTCATTTCCGAAAAACAACTTCTTAACCTTATTCTAAGCCATATTGAACTATGGACAATTTCCTGAATTGTCATGCTAGCCCTTGCCTCTATGCCTACTGCCAAAGTTGTTTCCTTTCTCTTATGGGCCATTTTCTATGTAATTTTTAACCCTCCTCTAGACTTCTGAGATGCAGCTGCACCCTCACCGTGCCAGTCAGGTTTGCGCTGGCAGGTGTTAATATGAACTCGGGACAGCTCTGGAGTACAGGCTGTTCAGGGCTTGTCACTGAGCTGCCGCCTGCCCAGTGAAACCTTGGCCCTTCTGACCAGGTTCTATGTCTTATTAGAGGATTATTTCCATTAGTGCTCTCAGAATTCACATCAAAAGGACTGATGGAGTGAGTTTGAATGAGAGAATGAATTAGGAAGGGAATGAATAGTTTCTCTCAGATCATGAACAGTAGAGGTGGTATTACACACTGTACTATTAACACAAGAGTCACCTTAAAGAACAAAATTTAAAAATATTTTTGATGTAAGATAAATGATAACGAACCTATTTGTATATAGACACTAATTTGGTCCCTGGCAGTTGGATTCATCCGTTTGCCTGCCTATTGGTATATATGTAAGTATGCATGTGTTGATTTATTTATTTATGATAGGATCTCGCTATGTTACCCAGGTTAGAGTACAGTGGCTATTTGCAGGCATGATCATGGTGCACTACTGTCTCAAATCTCTAGGCTCAAGCAATCCTCTCATGTTGGCCTCCTGAGTAGCCGGAAATATGGGCACATTACAGCTGCAATTAACACTGCACCATAAAGTTTGCTTGATAAGCTTACCAGCTCCTATACAGAAACCCAGTGAGAAGACCTGCAGGGTTGGAACGCATTGCTGAATGAATGCACCACTGATAGTCCCGGAAGGTGCCATGGTGCTGACTGATCTCTCTCTCTTTATGGGGCATGGGGGTCGGTAGGTGAGGGGTGGAATTTGACTTCCATCTGGTTGTAAATTTTTGTACTAAAAGATGCTTCCTATTTATTGGCTCCAGCTCTAAGTAAGTATTATTCCTCCAGAGGATATTGTGCCACTTTACACATCCACCAGGAACATAGAGACTATACTCCCCAGTCCCCAAGGATTGGCACAAAGAAAAGACACATCAGGGGAGCCACCAGCAACAGGAAATGATTTCTGCAGCCCCAGGTCATACCCTACTACCCCCGTGTTTCAGAACTGGCTCAGTGCACCTGGAAAGCTTCATTTCTATGTTAATGGAGTTTTTTTTTTTTTTTTGTATGGGAAATGTTTTATTTATGTATTTATTCTCTTAAAATGTTACAGGGTGCAAATGTTTTGGGTTACATAGATCACTTTTGATATGCTGAGTCATGATTATAAATTATATACCCATCACCCAGTTAGTGTTCATTATACCCATTCGGTAGGTTTTTCCCCTCCCCCCACTCCTCCCCTGTTTGAATTCCACTGAGTTTTACTTCCCTCTGTGCACCTGTGTGCTCATTCTTCTTAGCAAAGTATCTCAAGAATGGGACAAAAATATCCGATGTACTCAATACTATTATGAAGCCAATATATAAACACTTACACACTCATACAAATGATAGAATAGGAAGATAGTCCAGAAAGAAAGGGGGGAGAAGAGGGAGAGGGGAGGGCAAAGGGGAGGGCAGGTGGAGGGAGAGCATTTGGTAGGATTTCCCCTAATGTGCACAATGCAAGGGTACATTTCATATCAGCTAAGAGTATATCATAAATGTCTTACCACAAAAAATAAGTACATGAGGTGATGGTTATGTTAATTAGTTTGATTTAAGCATTCCAAATTGTATATCAGATCATTACCTTGTACCCCATAAATGTATACAGTTAAGAAAACAAAATTGGACTCATGAACATTCTTCAAATGTGGTATATGCAGGCCATGGAGTACTACTCAGCCTTGAAGAGGGGTGAATTAAGGCCTTTTGCAACTATTTGGATGGAACTAGCATCCATTATTGTTAGTAAAGTATCTAAAGAATATCAAACAAACACTACATGGACTCACTACTAAACGTGTTAATGGGCTTTTAAGATTCTCTTTAATGCCTGGTTTATCTTTTTAGAAGGAGTAGCTTTTTGTTTGTATGTTTCTAGTTTCACTGAGCAGGAGAACTCCGGGACAGACAGGGCCAAAATGCAACTCTTGAATTAGTTCCAGAGTAGCGAGGTTTAGCTGCGGTGGCTTCAGGCCAGAATGGGGTAGGGCTTTCCTCCTTGGCTAACCAGCCATATGGTTATGAGACACAGCTGTTCACAGTCCTATTTTCCAGGTAAGATGCTGAGTCATAGGTAGAGTAAGAGCCTTGGTTCAAGCTACATAAATAATTATGAATAAATGGACACTGAATCCAAGTGTTTGTGATATCAAATTCTGTTCATTAATTTTAGCAAATTAATTATCTCAGGCTAGATGTTCTTATTTCCAAAATAAGAAAAATATTCAATATTACCTCTATGATTTTTTATTGTGACAGTAAGCGGTACCCTGTATAAAGGACCTGGGCACTTTATACAAATGGTAATTATTTTACTACTCTATTTGTTATTATTACACATCCATGATAATATTTAACACATTCTAATTCTTTTCAAAAAGACAGCCAAGTAGTTTTTTTACTCCCCCAATTTTTTTAGGGTGATAAAATACACATAACAAATTTTACTGTCTGAGCCATTTTGAAATGTATAGTTTAGGGGCGTGAAAAACACCCACACTGTCCTGCCACCACCACCACCTCTGTCTCCAGAACCCTTTTCAAAAATCTTTCCAAGCTGAACCTCTGCACCTGCCACACTTGATCTCCTCTCTCCTCTTTACCCCAAACCATTGCCACCTGCAGCGACTGCCCTCCTGCTTTCTGTCCCTATGATGTTGACAACTCTAAACACTTCATGTAAGATAAGCCATCATTTCTGAAATAATAACTTCACACACAACATAGGGCCCTAGAAAGCAAGGACAAGGTGTCACACTTGCCAAAGGAAAATGCCAGAGAAGAAGCTACTGCCTCTGGCCTGTCGCAGAAAGCAATCCTGTGCCCTTTGCTTGATGACTCGATGGCATTGCTGCTCCGTGCTCTAGGACAGGTTTGAATTTTCAATTCTTTTCTTTTTTTTTTGAGACAGATCCTCAAGCTATCCCCCTGGGTAGAGTTCTGTGGCATCACAGCTCACAGCAACTTCCAACTCCTGGGCTCAAGCGATTTTCCTGCCTCTGCCTCCCAAGTAGCTGGGACCACAGGCACCTGCCACAACACCTGACTATGTTTTGGTTGCAGCCATCATTGTTGTTTGGCGGGTCCGGGTTGGACCTTAGGTGTATGTGGTTGGCACCTTAACCACTTGAGCCACAGGCGTCGAGCCTGAATTTTCAATTCTTAAAGGTGCTTTGGAACAATTGGAGTTCCTAAGAGGCCTTCGCTGAACTGAATTTAACCTTTTCCACTAGTAAGTGCTGTCATTAAGGTTTGGACTTCCAACTTCAGGTGGATCTCACATTCCTGGGCTCAGGGATCAGGAGGTCTGCTGGTGAGTGTGTGGTGTCACAGTGGGCTCAGCCCAAGGGTTACACCTTTAAAATGCTTCTCAGCCTGGCCTCTCTTCTCAAATAAGCAGACAGTGGGAGATCATTTACCTAACCAAATAAGGTCCAAGTAATTCCTTCTTTTTGAGCCATCATGAAAAATAAAAGAAATTCAAATATGGACTGAATGCGTGTATCCCTCACAAAATTTTTATGTTGAAATTCTAACTCCTGGAGTGATAATATTAGAAGATGGGGTCTGAGGGAAGTGATTATGTCATGGGAGTGGATCCCTCTTGAATGGGGTCAGTGCTCTTATGAAAGAGACTCTAGAGAGCCCCCTGTCACTTTCCCATCCTGTGAGGATTGAGGATACACTGAGGAGGTGGCCACCTGCCGCCCAGAGGAGGGCCCTCTCCAGAGCCTGACAGCACTCGCACCCTCGTTTGCAAAGTGCAGCCCCCAGAAAGGTGGGAGATACGTTTCTGCTGCTCCCCAGCCACCGGACAAATGGTGTTTTGTTAGAGAGCCTGAATGGACTGAACTGCCATTTACAAATCTGAGTATTTAAAAATAACATGAGATCCCTCCCCCAATATTATATGTTTATTTGGACTAAGACATAGCTTATTTTTCCTTATTTCATAGGCCTAACCCAAATACAGAGATGAAAAGGAGGATTCGACTTAACATAGTTCTTTGCCAACATCTCCTTTTACTCTCTGTGTTACATGAGTACAATCAAGCTCATGGGAAAATAGGGAGGGAAACTACAACTTTGCTTGAGAACATGAGTATTATTTTAAAATCTTTCAAGTGATGAGTAATTGAATCTCACAGATGAGGTGAGTTACTCACGACTACCCCTCAGCTACAAATTAGAAGAGTTGGAATTTGAGTTGTGATTGGCCAAAAGGCTGTAAAGCCAAGCTGTTGGATATCATAGATTTTTGCAACATTTCTTTTAAGATAATTGATTCATTATTTAGAATCATGTTCTGTCTTTCAGGAGAGACATTTCAAAGGGTCACTGCAAATAATTTATTAAAGGCTTCAAAACCAATTTATAGCAGAGTCAGAACTAGAATTCAAGACCTCTCTCTAGACCAGTGTGCTTATAAATTAGCACCTTGTGCTGATCAAAGCATGGATTTCTTCTCTATGGCTCACTTTAGTTAATTCTATGTGACACATGACATTTGTTTCCTATAAATTAGAACATGGTGAGCCCTTCCGCCTCGGCAGCCATTGGAGTTTCCAGCTGCTGTCGCAGCCATGGCTCTGCGCTACCCCATGGCCGTGGGTCTCAACAAGGGCCACAAGGTGACAAAGAACGTGAGCAAACCGAGGCACAGCCGCCGCCGCGGGCGTCTCACCAAACACACGAAGTTCGTGCGGGACATGATCCGAGAAGTGTGTGGTTTTGCCCCATATGAGCGGCGGGCCATGGAGCTGCTCAAGGTCTCCAAGGACAAACGGGCCCTCAAGTTCATCAAGAAAAGAGTGGGGACACACATCCGTGCTAAGAGGAA